CGGAGGCAGAGGCCCGGCAAAAAAAGACTGGGGAGGAGGGGGGGGGGGGAAGGTTGGAAGTCTCCACAATATCACAGTGAGAATTTCACCATTTATTAATATTAACATGATTAAGGTCTAGTTGTGGAAGTATTTAGAAAATTTTTGAGCGCGACTGGACTTAATTCGTTTATAAAGTTTGATTAGGTAGATTATGAGATAGAATTCGATATTACCCATGAACTAAACATTTCTGGAAAAGCTACAGGGCATACATAGATAGTTTGATGTAGCTCGATGACTTCATGCTTAATACTACATACAGTTTATCACTAGAATGCGATATGAATACCTAAAAACAAATTTCGACTAGAAACGTGGAATGCTAAAGAAACTTTTCTAAAAGTGTTGGGTATATTTTACGAAATGGCACTGCGACCATTACTAAAGTGTACATTTAGAAATATCTGAAAAAAAAATAAAGTCTATAGGACATTATCAATTTTTTATGTTTACGGTATACGAAACGGTAAATTTTTCGGTTGATTTAAGACATAGAAATGCTTTTTTTCTTCTCCATGTTAAACTGAAATCAACTAGTTTTTTTGACAAGAAGTCCATTGGAGTGCAAGGCTTTTGTGACATGATTGGTATACGGAATACTGTATTTTATTACTGATCGTATTTCTTTCCTTTTTTATATGCGTGTTTTTGAAAGCTATTTAAAACTGTCAATAGTTCTGTTTTCAAAATTAAACTTTCTCTCTACTAGCCTACTTGTCAATGTTGTCTGTCCTATGATTTGAGAGAAAATATTCAAATTAGACTAAGCCTACTAAATGTAAAGTTCATCGAAGCGGATTCTATCTTTGAATTACATGTTAGAAATAATGTTGTGTAGAAACCTTTGTATATCATCATTTCAATACACAGGATCTACAAATTATTCTAAAAGTTCTTATAATTCAATATGCTAAGGAACAAAATTTTCTAATAGTCAAAACGCTTAATACCGATTCAATTTCATAAACAATATGAATTTCGTTGAGTTTTTTATTCCTTCAGCACAGTAAATAGTTCAGAATGTGACTAATTTGTCGCAATGTAAATTTAATAGATGTATTGTAAAATATTCGAAAATATATAATCTTCAGTTTGTGTTTCTTCTTCAAATTAGAAAAGTAATATTCTTTTTTTTCACAAATTTCAAACGACTGAAATTTGATTATTGATAAGAGAATTTTGTTTCTAATGTTGATAGATATGAACATTTTACAGGGCCTATTTTTTACAAAACTTGAACAAACTTAAAATGATATTATATAAACTTCTCCAAGTCGATCAAACTGTTCAAGAGGTATTTATGCATTCTTTTGCGGTAAAATTTTAGTTTACGGTCTATAATGAAGATATTTAATTTTTTCTCACAAATATATATGTAGATCTCACTATACATATTCATTTATATATACTGAAATTAGGAACATTGTTGATGTCATCCGAATATTATATATAAATCTTTATTACTCACCATCAGCATTTTCTTGCATATTTTTAGCTTCATTTGATATAGCTGAGCTTGCCGAACTTCCAGTTACTTTTCCTGCATCGACATTAGCGGTCGTTTGGTTTCTATCCATCTATTATATCGTCAAAGTGTATATTAATCTAGAACAAAAAAATGCATGAATATTTTTTAATGTTCATATACACGTATTCAATGGTTAGTGGCATACAGTAGACTACTAATGTATTCGTCTACGCATTTTAGTAAAAATAAATTTTAATTTAACATAATTCACCTACAGCATACTTTTTTCAAACCGTCAAAAAAATGATTACTTTATATTTTCTTTAACAGTAGGGTGCTTCAAATTATATGATGTTTGAATGAATAGCCTCATACATACTTGTTGACGAGAGCATATAGTTTAAATCATATGCTAAGAATAAACAGCTACTACTTCAATGGCTACATCGCTGAATCATGCGTCATTTAAATATAAGATAACGAATATTTCAGTTGTTTACAGTTCAAATGTCGAAATTATACGACATATTATTCCTCCGAGCAACAGTCCAAAGTTTTCGATGTATTCACCCGTTTTTATATCTTTCATCGATGATCACATAATCATTAAAATTTTATTGCCATCTTACGATACTAGGTAACACATCGAATTCATGATGTCGCAATCGTAGCAAACAAACTTTTTGCACGGTGTCCAGGAAACTAATACTGACACGTATAAGAACATATTGTGATCAAGTGTTGTTTTTCATCTAACTGCAAGTAGACGTCAACAAGAATGTGTTTTTTTTCTTTTACTAACTTGCTGTATTCTATCATCCGAGTCTATTAGCAATTACGCGACGAAAAAGTTGGGGTAGCGATGCATAACGAAACAAATAATGTTTCACACGCTGCGCCTCAAGACAATATTTTTCATCAACACACATAAACGGGATGCGAACGACTTACAAAAAGTATGAAAAAAAAGAACGAAAAAGAAAACGCTAAAAGTACAAAGACCGCCGCATGGGTCTATTGTAATCAGTTGGTCTTAATATAATGAATGTATGACTATGTGAAAAACCTTGTCAGTAACGAAAATGCATACTCATTTAAGAGCAAAGATAGGACAAAAAATTAATAAGAATCGATACAAAAAGAAGCATATTTCGATTACAAAAACAAACAAAATAACTAACCTATTAAATAAAACAAAGATAGAACAGTGTATTTCTGAAACGAGTTATTCTTGTTAATATCATTGGAGAAAAAATTTCTATTTAGATAAGATTATATTTTCAAGAAGTAAAGTATTTGTGATTGTAACTAACGATGACTAAAGATTGCGTTTACATTCAACTATCGTTGTGAACAAAATGCCGAATTAAATGATTATTATTAAGACAAGATTTCAACGTTTTCTTTCTTTATATACGAATCTAAGCTATTTGTTTATTCGATTAAGAACTCAAAGAGAATCTTGCATTCATTGAAACGTTGAAGTAAACAGCAACTTTCCGAAAAAAAAGCAATAAAAGATTAAAGAGAAATACTCCTACATGTTTGAGAATGTGCAAAAATACATTGTAAAGTCTATAACAATTTGTCAGGCGACGGAAATTCTCATGACACTCTTGAAGCATTTCATTTCTTTCGTTCGTAATTCAACAATTTTGAGTTGGAACTAGCATTTATTTCGAACGATTTGTGTATCAGAATTTTACAAAGACATCTCCATGCAATGGTATTTTGTTAGAAAAGCAAGAAAATTTTTCTGATTAACCGACTGACTTATTCAGAAAATTTGCAGCTATCGATATATCATTTCATACATCCGTCCACGCACATAAAAGAGAAGAAAAAAGTAGAAACACTAAGAATGAGGGGAGACAGTGGAAAAATAAAGATAAAAGAAAAAAAGGAGTGTATTGGGCATGTCTTTGCTACTTCAGCATAGACTAAATTGAGAACAGAAAAAAAAAGACTGAGGGTTTTAATAAATAGTCAGAAGCAGAAAAGAACGAAGAAAATATAAGAGAGAAAGAGGAAAAAAAAGATTGACCTAGATCTGCACAAGAGTAGATATGCATACTGGGAAAGAACGACGTTGACGTACGCATTTGCACATATAAAAGAAAGACGAAAAAGAAAGATAAAGAAATAAAGATGGATGTGTGTTTGAATACTCTCTAACTAGGCATGTACGGATGTTTTTTTGCATTATTTTCGAGCATTTTCATATCCATAACTTGAGCTACAAAATAAAAGACTAAATCGTGTAACTTAGGCTATAATAAAATAGGGAGCATGGTACTTTATCAAACGAGATGTACTGGAGCTGTGTATAAAAATTCTTTTAGTTTTAATAAGAGTTTTACAAAACGAGCCGAACAGAATCTAGACTTGGGGCTCAGTTAGACTCGGTCCAGACATTTTTTTTAATGATGCAAATAAAAATTGGAATAATTGTAGTACAGAGCTCGGAAACATCTCATTTTGTAAAGCGTTATTTGTCTATCTTTTGGTAGGTTAGGCCACAAGATTCATCCTTTCATTTCAGAGCTCAAAGTGTTAATATAAAAGTGTTCGAGAGTAACGAACAAAAAAAAGTCGGTATCTAGTACACTTTTCAATCGATGATGATTGCTAAAGGCTAAGAGTTTCTACAGACTAACATAGCGACAGAAAAATATTTCAATATCAAGAAATAGCTTGAGATTGTTTAATAATATAGCAAATTTGAATAAGACTTGCAACAACAAAAAGGTTTTGCATATCTATTTTACTTTCAAAAACAAGATTTTCGCTTTCTCAGATAGTTTAACACCGATCATCCTTAGCTTTGATTTTTAGGTCACAGTTTTTGTTTCTATCAAGATAAAGATAATTCTTGACTAAATGAGAACTAGCATTTATCATTCAATCTAATGAAAACATCGTAAACTATTATTCATTTTAAAATAAAAAAGATAGGTATTTTGAAACAAAACATTGTGTAATGTAAAAGCTTTAGAATTTTAATTTTCATGAGTGCAATAAAATTATCAACTAAAGATCTATAAATAAATGTAAGTTCGATATTGTAAGGTTTAGCCAATCATGAGTTATAAACATTTTTCTACGCGTTATTGGCAAATTTTTCACAAAAATTTGACTTTTTTTCTGATTTTTTTGACGAAAAATTCACCTTAAAAACTTGGCGGGACACCCTGAAAAGACTTCTTAGAAAAACCAGGTATAAATGATTCGATATAATTTCATCTCCTCTTTTTAAACGGTGAAATCGCAGATCTCTATTTTGTTTCTATCAAAACTTATTCCAAAAATACTCATCCTTTTTTCATTTTGAAATGGATAATAGTAAGCACTCATCAAAGATCGGATCGTTTCGTGGCTTTTTTTGACACCAAACCCATTTCATTTCTGGTACACATCATGAAAACTTAAATGTAACATCAAAAGTAAGGAATATCATGAATCAGATAAATAGCTCAACAATATGGATACATTGAAGAGTTTTCGTCAGGAGAATTATATACAATTTAGTTACAATAGATTGATTTTCTCATCGGATTAAGATGAACGATGAACAGTTGTGTTGGCAAGTAGTTTAAATAAATATTAATTAAATGTGAAGAGATCAGTTTGTAGATAGAGAGAGTCAGGTGATTAATTATGAGATATCAGTGTGAAATCGATTTGTGAGTTATTAATAAAGTTGTTCTTGTGATAATTTTTTTGCAAGAAATAATGAGAATATTCATGTTTACATATTCAGCGAGGAAAACTGTTATTGGAACTGACTTTGTGTATTGTTTATTTAGATTATGATTGAAATCTCGTGTGAAATGGTTGTTCATTTATATGTCTGTAGGAACGTTGAAAAAAAGCCAATGTAACATCGGTTCACCCAGAGATGCAGCGAGATTGCTGTTGTGATATGAGTTTCAATTGTTTAACATCTTAATTAAGAAAGATTTTATTTGCTTTGTAAGTACCATCAGAATAATATAATTACAAAGATAACAATGTAGTTTTTTTAATCTACTTAGTTTTGGTTCTCTGTATTTGATACGCAATAACTTTTTATTAGTAATTGGTAGTGATGATGCCATGAGAGCAGAATTTGAAACTTTTTCAGGGCATGTGTAACAATTAGGAATATCAAACATTGTTAATGTTGCTTTAAGCACCGCGGCTTCTGCTTTTTATTTACTAAAATATTATTTAGTTGAATTCGATTGATATAATGTTTTTCGAGTTTTTTCAAGTCTTAGAATATCTCTAAATGGTTTGGTATATTTCTATGAAACCTAGAAGACGTTCCAAATTCATTTCATTTCTCGAAACCCTTTTCTAAGTTCTTATCATATTTATTTTGTTCTCAGTGTAGTTGACAAGAGAAAATCATATCAGAGAACATTTTGTGATTTTCTTTTTCATTCTCTCATCCGTCCAGCGTAAAATTCTCGTATCTGCTGTAAAATAAAAATTTTGTTCGCTATGAACAATCGCCTATATTACAGAAGAGAGAAACAGCAAATTAGAATGAAGATGCGATTCCTCCAACTATAATCGAAAGTAAAATTATCAAAACATACATTTTCATGATAGTTCTAATGTGTGAAACTAGTGAGATGTATTGTAGAAACAAGAATACTCAAGATGTGGTTGTAGTTGTAGGTGTGAGTCTAGGTCGTCTCTTTACTCACATTCTCGTTCGACGTTTTTACCTATCTAAATTGTATTCTTCGGAATTTCTATGTGTTCCATTTTTATCTGTCAACTTTTGACAGTTGACATTATTATTGTGCAATATTTTTCTTTTCGATCAAAGTAGGGTTAACTCAAGACACATGGAATGCATTCTTTTTTTATGTTTCAGGCTCGTTTAAGTTCTTTGATTGCAATTTCGAATTAAAAAATACGAAAAGTATTTTTTGTACCCATCAATAATTCAGACGTTTCTTGAGTTGTTAAATAATGAGCTCTTTTTTTCACTTTTCGAACTTATGACTTCAAACTCCGTTCACAGAAGAATGTAGGTTGATTTGCATCTATGCATTTGATTTGATTCTGTACGTTAGTCAGATATGTTTAATGTTTTACTAGTAGGTGACTTACCTAAAAGCACGACTTTGTGGCTACAGACAGCCCGAAGACGTCATTCATTTTTGCAATATAGTCGTGGGATCCTGTATACGTTTGAAGCATCTCCAGAAGGTGCAAACAATTCAAAACATTGGCTCCTTATGAGCCGACATGATCTGCATTAGATTCTGAAGACATTTTAAGTTTGATTTCATCGCGTCAGATTTGCTCTTTGACCAAATCGAGAACATTATCGACACAGATGTTTTACTGGTATTCGCAAAAATCTGTCCGACATCATGTAAGTCATTAATGAGAATATCCAGTCAGACGCATGCTTATTTAAAAGTATTTTGATGCGTAAGAATTTGCGATTTTTACGATGAAAAAAAACGATATTTATTTTTGTAAAAAGTAAGTTTGTGAGCATGATCGTCATCAGAATCTCTTTCTTTTTCAAAAGAAAAAACGTTTTTGAAAACCTAAAAAGCGCACATTTTAACGCATAAAAAAGCGTTTTCTATCGATTTGGTCTGAATGGGTTGGTTAGTACTTTTATTTACTGATGAAAAAGCATTTCTCATGAAATGTTACTCTCACTAGAAGAAGTCATTCTATGGATTGTAGTCGTCTTATCACAGTTCACATGTTCGTCCATTCGGATATAGCCATTCTGCCAAGTTTGAATGCTGGCCAAGATATTCAAGCCCATATGCGGCTGCTTGAACCAGATTTTCATAACCAAACAAATGGATGTTTGCCAAAGTATCACATGCCTGATGATAACAAGGATCAAGGATCGCTCCTGCAAAACCAGCATTATTCTCTCCAACAGATTGACGATACTTTTCACGTTGTGCTGCCGTTTTAATAGCATCTGATCCTGTTGCAACCCCACCAGCCGCTATACATGCCTCTAGAAATGGTCCATAATCACTACGACCGTTAAAAGCTCGATAGTCCCATGGTAAATTCTGTCGAATGAACCAGTCACGATACAACTCTGTAACTTTTTTGCTACCAGGTATTGCTTGTGGTGGGGTCTCACTCGGTGCCGTATTTGCATCATAAATTCCAAAAATGAAATTAGGTGAGCCAGCCATATCAAAGTTGAGGTTAATCAAATAATCAGAGCGACGTTCACCTGGAGTATTTGCATTTTGAGCCTTTTGAAGATGATAACTCGATCCAGCCAAACCAATTTCTTCTGCAGCCCACCAACAGAAACGAATACGATATTTATATTTAGTATAGTTCGTTGTTCGATATAAACGAACCAAATTTGTGACCAAAACAAGATTAGCGGCCGTTCCACTCCCTAAATAAAATGTAAATAGCATAATCATGAATGTTGTCTCGAACTTCATTTGTCGATCAAATATTGAAAAAAATTAAAAAGAATTCATTCATTTAAATACCAAAACGATATCCTTACCATTGTCATTAATGCCTGGTCCGGCTGGAACACTGTCACTATGGCTTCCTACAACGATCGTTTGAGTTACGTCTCCATCTGTAGTATCAGCACAAATATTATCCACTGGAAAATCTTCTAAGTTTTGCAGTTGAATTGAAAGTTTCACCATGACCAGAGTAGAAAGAGTGGCATTGGCAAGAGCTTGTCCAGCTGCATAAGATAGGTAAAGTGCAGGCAATTTGTTTGTTTCACGCAGACGTACACTTATCGGAGCAAGATTGGCATTTGTTTCGCCATCATTGTAGAAGAGTAAAGCCTTGACGTCATTTTTTCCAGCAAGAATACCCTTCTCGGCATATGTGCATGGGCCTCCTGCTTTAACAAGTGCAGCAAAACCTTGTGTATTTTGCCATTCATTTTTCGCACAGCCAAAATTTGGAATATTGATAAGAGGAACATAATCGGAAAAGTTAGCTTCAGTGGAATAAATAGCATAAGTAAAATCGGATCTAGCGAGCTTTGATGAATAGGTATAATTTTTTTCTGTGCCATTGATTAATGACAGCAATATTGGATCTGTTGCAATAGCAAAATTTCGTATTTTAAATGTTTCTCTCGTCACTTTCAAGAGAGTTCCTTGCTCATTTAAATATTTCTCTATGTAGTTCACAGTTTCATTGAATCCTCGTGTGTTAATGGCTCGCGTACCATTTGATTCATCGGCTATGCGTTGCAATTGTCGTAAGTGAGTCATAAGATCTTCGATTCGAATGGTTTCAGCCAAAGTTGAATTAAGCTTTGGTTTGCTTGTTGTTGGTGTCGAAACTATTGAATCGAATCGTTTAATTAATGTACCAAGAGTGGCAGCAGCTAGAGCTAATGTAGCTATCCCGACTAGTCCAATAACACATAGTGTGATAAACATACGTTTGCGGTACGGTTCGGAAACAATCATATTGAGTCGTGAGCAAGAAGAAAGTGAAAAAAATACACCTTTTCAACAGATAAATCCCTTTCACAAGTGTCATATTGATGATCTATTGTTATTGACAGATAAGAGCATGCTTAAGCAAATATCAATAAAGGATTTAGTAGTGTGCATTTTCTTTCTTGTAATATAATCGGCAGTGCACAATAAAAAAGATGTTTTTTTTGTCAGTTTCAAATAAATTATAAAAGAACATAATCGATATCTGTCCTTCATACATGTTGTACACACTGAGCCATACCATGTAAAAAACGTTTTTCAAAAGTATGTGTCTGAACATGATTCTTTTATCAACTAACGCGTTTTAACCAGGTTTTAAACGCATCTATTCAGATATATTCGAACACATCGTCTTTTTTTCAATAAAAAATGCAGACAAATTGTTCAAGAATATGTTCCATAAGATACATTTTATTAGTATAACAAAGCATTTTTTTTTACCATAATCTTATTATATTCGTTTATCCATCTTAGTAACTACTGTGCTGAAAATTCTCAAGATTTCAGGAAAGATGTGTCATAGTCAGCATTGTAAAATTTAAAGTATATTAAACATAAAAATGTTCCTGCTATTGAATTATGCCAAAACTTTTGTTAGATCGTAATAGACTATTTGAGCATATTGACTTTATTTCGATTTTTTTGATATTGAATACAATATGTCTTTCAAGAGAACTTGAGACTTTTCAGCAAATAAGTTACTAGACAACGCACGATAGAATGATATAATAATTAATATGAATAAACGGATAAAAAAAGGCTTTGACACGGAGAAAAACGATAAAATGACTTTTTTTAGACTCTTAAAATGTAAATCGAAGCAATCTATATAAACATTAGAGCAATCAGAATATCGGTGTTAACAGAGTCAGAGAACTCAAATATGATTCTATAAGAGAAAATCCGATATATACTTCTGTTAGTTTGCTTCAATTCGTCAGGTTTTCAACTAACGGTATATGGTATGATATTTTTAACTGAAAATGTATATTGCAATACAATATATTGTTCCAACTGAATTTTCTATTAACGCATCAACATTTTTCTTGGATAAAACTCAATATTTCTGACATATATGCGTACGTATTGGTTATTTCTATGAACAACACTTATCAAATAGATAATTTTGAAGATTTTAAAAAAGACACGACTGAGATGCATCCAAAGCAACTTTTTAATTTACAAGTAAAACAAAGCAAAGATTCCTGTAAAAGTATTAATTCAATGAAAATGATGTTAATGTCTGTCTTTTTTCTCTACTAAAATTCATTATGACACTATACGTTGGTCAATTAAAGATAGAAGACATAAAAAGAAAAGAGAAATAAATGAATAACTTCACAATGCGCCAGTTTGATGGTTGAAGAAACGGAACATGGTACGAGACATAATAAAATACCAAAGAGGACAATAAAAATGAAAGACATTTATTATCGGTATTACTCCTAAATCGTGTTTGAAGAAAACGAAAAACTAGGCATGTTAAAGTGCCTCGTTTGTCATATGAGCACATTATAAAAAATTAATTCGAGCTTTTATTGAGAGTAAAACAGTTAAAGTTTCTCGGCGACCTATACAAGAAGTTAATAACGAAAAAATAGATGTAAGCTGACTAAAATTCGAGTAAAGTATTATGACAGTGATACACACGCCTCCACTACTTCGTTCTCTTCAAAATTAATTTCTTTTAATGAATTGAAAACATGATAAATGAATATAGTGCTCTAACTCTAGAGCATTAAAAAATGTGCTAAGAACTTTCAAGATGACTTTGTGACTAATCATTGTATGGAAAAAAGAATGTAACAGAATTGCTATTGTAATATCATATTATCGATAACTTTTCCAACTTTCTCAAGAAATCCTTTTAACCAAGGCAAACTTGTTTTAGTCATTGGAACTTGTCGTTTTTATTATATAACTACTTCTTTATTTTCTAATATTCAAATACGGTCTGCTATACTACAGTCATATGTTTATTTCAACAGCAGCTCTATTCAAGGAATATATTATTGAATATAATATGACAATATATTTATCTATATGTTGGAAGATTATTATTTCATGAGAGGGCGTTTTTCCTCAAAATACGAATTAAAATATTCATTGAACTTGTTTGTGAAATAACTCATTCTTTTTTCCAAAAGAAAAACATTATAAACACTATGTACTGACGTGTTTGTAAAATATGCACTGTTTTCAGTAAAAGAACATTGAAAAATCGCGTTTAAATGCATGATAAATAAATGTATCAAGCGCATAAAAGCAAATGCATTCGAGTAATTTTACAAAAATAATATTGATTGGAGAGAAAAAGCAAGTTCTGTCATAGGCATGTTCAAATGGTATTTTTAATTAGACGGTATTTCAAGTTGAAGAAATACGTTATAAATCAAAAAGCTGTTAATGCAATCCTTGTGGGATTACAAGACGAACCACAACGTAACTGCTCTTGCTAGTCACAGGGAGATTACTTTTTTTTTTAATCTATTTTCGGACACATATCTTCATCATCTTTTAATTCAATCCTTCAGAAATCCAATAAGGAAGTAGTTCATATATTAGAATGAGGCGTTATTGCTATGTAGTGTTTGATCCAATATCAACAATGTCTTGCGTGGTCCGTTATGGAAAGGAGAGATGTTGTTAATACGGCTGTCACAGTCTATGACGGGAGGGCTGGAGAGACGAGTTCAAATTTCTATCGTATATATTTTAACACTTCTGTCAAATCATGTTTCGCAAAAGATGAATTAAAATGCGTTGTGAATAAAAAAAACAATGCGTTTAAAATCTAGAAGACAAATATATTCATTTCGTTCCTATAATCATTATCGAATGTTCTCAGCTTTCGGCTCTCTCATTTGTTTGTCGAAAAGAATCAGAATTTTTCGTTTACTGAAAATGCTTAACCATCGGTTTTCTATCATTATCGATCTCTCTTGGGTGCTTTTCTTTTGTTGCCAATTTGCCACAAAGGAGAGAGAGAGATCTGTGGCATTAATCTCGAAAAGTTTGTTTGCTTGTTCCAAAGAACGATTATAACGCGGTTTGATATTGGCCGTGCTAGAACCTGTTGAAACTTCTTTCAGTTATCGCAAGAAATGTTCGTTAGTTGTTGCAATTGTAATTGTGTTGTTTCAGCTCTTTCCATTCACAACACCTAAAGGAGCAGTGATGAAGACAAACGAGATCCGAACTTCTACGCGTAAATTTATTTCCGTTGGTAGAAAAAGACATTTTCAATGTCGAACTTCATTGCGTTAGAAGAATTCATTAAGCTGGACTAATACGTAACGGTAAATATATATTCTCACCGAGTGTGTCAATATTTCTTGTTGACTTCGAGATAAAATCAATATTTGTATTCAATTTTCAATTCACGTTGGCTATTGCAGAATTTTCGTTTCACATTTATCTTCTTGTTTGACAGACTCCTCATTTGTTTTGCAATTGAAAGAATATAAATTATTCTTGGCTTTAGATAAGATTCATCATCGATGCGATTTTATTACAGATTGAAATCAATGAACGAATCGATCAATTCATTCATTTATTCACCTCACATTATAATGTAGCGGTCGTTTTATTATTAAATATAAGTTTTGCTTTGATCTATGTCAATCGACTTATCTCTAAAGCATTGAATCAATTTCGAATTTCGCTTCGCTTGATTTAAACTTTCATTCCTTTATTATCGAATATTTTAATCATTTCAGATGCTTAGATCGACAGTGATACTCAAAACTCGGTTCACATTTCAAACTTTTACTCTGATCATATAAAATGATCGAGATTTTTTTTTGCTATTGAATCTTTTCGATCTCTTCAATCAATTGTAGAGCAACGAATTTTGTTTTACATTGAATTCTATAAACAATTGTTTATCTGTCTGTGAAAAACAAATATAGATGACGTGGTAAAGTATTACAAATAGACAAGGACAAAATGAATGTTGATGCTATCGTTAATTTTACTTCTATTAACAATTCCAACCAATATTGTCAATTCGAGTTTTGTGAGAAACGACTCTATTTAGTAAAGCAAGAGAATAAAAACAAGTCAAAGCCAAGAGATGAGCTATGGTAACTAATTATGTGAATCACTAGTTGGAAGTTTGTTCAATTTTAGTGTCTATGTAGCAGATCAATGACAATCTTAAGATACAATGAAAATATTTCTATATACATCCAAAGAATATGCATTGGCCGACAAAGATCTAACTAAAGGATGCGAATTCACTATTAAATTATAATAATAAAATACCAATTATTTCTTTTATGAGAAACACTGATCAGCCGATTGAACCATATATTTTTCAGAAACACTGGCGACAACGATATTTAAATCGATGATTATTTTAATAAGAATGGTTTTGTTATGAAAACAAATCTGATTGGCTAATAAGTCACGTTTTTATTGCAAAGGCTAGTCAAGCAATACATCTTAGTTGACATTTAATGATTTATTAAAGAAAGCACGCTACTCGTTGCATTTAGCAGTTCTATTGATGGTTGTTATCGATGTTCAAGGAAATTCTACATGCTTTTGAGCATGAACTCTTAGTAAAAGGAACTTTTCCGTCCACAACAAAAGTTTGTATATAAACTAATCACAATAATGATTTATATGCTCAACTTTTGTAAATTCGTACAGTGAAAGCATTCGATATCATGTTAACAGCTTTGTATAGACAATCAAACGAGCAAATTTTCTAAACAAATAATACATTCAATTAACTGAAGCCACTATGACTGATTGACTAAGTAGCTTGACACATATCCACAAGATTCTGTGTTCAAGTCTTAGTATCATCAGTCATGAGAGGATCCTTGGCAGGTTATTAACGGATATTTATCTTAAGCCATTCGTCCGATGACATGCTGATCACATCGTGATACATGCCTATTCTCATGTCTACTATGGAGTAAGTTATTATGCATTGGAGAGCTCAACAAATTGAGTGC